TCTTGGCGCATTGTTTCTCTCTTATAACCTTAATATTTCTCACTAATAACCTAACTGAAGCAGCACATGTCCTTGATACGAATTCGCCGTTAACCTGCATGTAAACATCAAATTAAATTTGAATTAATATTGGACTAAAAAACTTTATTTGCATAAATATGAAACATTGTCTACATATGCTGCCTCATATCAGACTTCCTTTTAGGTTGTGGTTATCTTTGCTGTCCAGTTATTTTTGCTTTCATTTGTCTTTTTCTGGGATTTTAACAACTCTCCGATCTCTTTATACTTTTAAGTTATTCACCAGTTGTCAATATGTCAATATGTGTTTTATGTTCAAGGGTGCTGGGTATTAGCAGAATAAATCCTCTAAAATAGAAGCTAAGGTCAAACTCTGTGCCAGGTTGTTGGGAGCAGTTTGAGTTGACAGTGCTGAATTGAGTTGAGCTGAGTAAATTAATCCAAGCTCACTTTACATTTCAATAGGCAAGTTGGCACTCATTTTCCTCCTCTTCCTCTATCTACTGGCGAAAGTGTTTTATAACCCTATGCTTCCTCATGATGAAGCTGAATAAAAGATCATGGAGGAAGGAAGGCCCATTTTGACAGGTTGAGACATTATTCAAACCCTTATTTAATATTAGTGACACATCCTGCTCTTGTGAAGTCTAAAATTCAGCATGTTACATCACACATGCACTAATGCCAACACAAACATATGTGTATTGTTGGCCCACATGAAATCTCAGGTAACCCGTGTGGATCAGGCACTTAGCATGTGAATGGGTATGGGTTTATATGCTATGTTATGACTGACATTCTGGCAAACGCAGACAGAGAACTGTGTGTGACAAGACTGTGAAAAACAGCTGTGAGTGCTGCATCCTTTAGGACTACCGGTGCTAAAAGTGCTCTCATAAATATTACACCATATTCCCTTGAATATAGCTTCACTCTTTTTATGTAATGGTTTGACTGATTTATTGAGTAAAGAAGAAGTGTCTAATTACTGACATTAACTGCAACATCAAACAAAACATTGGCTCGACTAATGACAAGAATTTACTTTTTTTTCCCTTGTAATGTTTAATCAGAATGTCATAACTCTGTTGAAAAAGACAGACTTCCCCCTGGTGATGTTTGTAGGACTTCTTCATTCATTCAGTCCGCTTAAACCTGCCTCTACACAATCAGCTACAAGCTCGTATTCATTGTGCAATGCCCACATCTCAACATCCAATGCATAGAACCAAGTCTCCTTCCTACATTTTTTTTTATTTCAGTAATCTATTATATTTGAATGTACATCACAATAAAGAAGAGATCGCTCTCCATTTCATCTAATTTTTTACAGTACATAAAACGTTAACCACCCACAGACCGAATAAATAAAAAAATGTAGGCTAATAATTTATTTCAAATATTAATATATTTATCTGTGCAATCAGTTACAAATAAATTTATATATACATTTTTTAAAAAATGCAAAACACTTCAATTCAAACCCTTTTTTTTTTTGATGAAAAAATAATAAAAAAGGTCTGCAAAAGAATAAAATCTCTACAATAGTCCTG